TCATTCCTGCACCACTCTTTAAAAGAGACGCCAATCATCAAAATCGACCAATGGGTTCCAGAGAAATGGCAAAAACGCCCATTTCCACCCAAATGACCTCAGAGGTGGAATTTTTTTTGCTAAACCTCTAAAAAGGTCAAATGTCACTTGTTTTGCATCAATCTTGATACAGGGTACTTATTATATGTTGTACTTTGGATTCCTAAAGCTTTTAGTCTACTAACCCATCTTCCAAGGGTAGTTTTCACTATAAGTACAAAATAATTTTTGAACGGACACAATAATTTACAGTTTTTTACTATGTTCAATCTGAATTTTCTTTAAAATAAAAAACATCTATATTGATTCTGACTCTTCTACATTCAACTCACAGGTTTATCATTACTTTGAGAAAAAAGATTATTCATTTAACCCTTTTAGAAGATATGGTCATTTGTTCTGGAAATGTCATTTTCGAGCCTGACACACACACACACACACACACACACACACACACACACACACACACACACACACACACACACACACACACACACACACACACACACACACACTCAGTGTATTTGCTGTGTGTGTTGCAGCTCCTCTCAGATGACTCTGGAAGAGAGTCTGAATGAATGCATGGAGGCTCTGGATCTCTTCCTGAACAACCACTTCAGCGAGAGCCTGGATAAGCTGCGGCCGAGGTAACGCAATAATCCCAGAGTCATGTCTAGATCCACTTCCTGTCTGAGTGTGATGCGGTGGTGGAAGAAGCACTTACACTTAGATATTACTTTATTATTTTATAATGCAGCACATATGCCTCGACTGGGACATGTCTCCATGCTTTAATGTTCGGACATCACACTGAAGTCACACCTTAATTCATATAATTAAAGAGTCCTCTCCTGCTGATGTTCAGGTGTATATCAGTATGTAGTGTCTCTACTTTAAAGAGTCCTCTCCTGCTGATGTTCAGGTGTATATCAGTATGTAGTGTCTCTACTTTAAAGAGTCCTCTCCTGCTGATGTTCAAGGTGTATATCAGTGTGTAGTGTCTCTACTTTAAAGAGTCCTCTCCTGCTGATGTTCAGGTGTATATCAGTATGTAGTGTCTCTACTTTAAAGAGTCCTCTCCTGCTGATGTTCAGGTGCATATCAGTATGTAGTGGCTCTACTTTAAAGAGTCCTCTCCTGCTGATGTTCAGGTGTATATCAGTATGTAGTGTCTCTACTTTAAAGAGTCCTCTCCTGCTGATGTTCAGGTGTATATCAGTATGTAGTGTCTCTACTTTAAAGAGTCCTCTCCTGCTGATGTTCAGGTGTATATCAGTATGTAGTGTCTCTACTTAAAGAGTCCTCTCCTGCTGATGTTCAGATGTATATCAGTATGTAGTGTCTCTACTTTAAAGAGTCCTCTCCTGCTGATGTTCAGGTGTATATCAGTATGTAGATGTCTCTACTTTAAAGAGTCCTCTCCTGCTGATGTTCAGGTGTATATCAGTATGTAGTGTCTCTACATTTAAAGAGTCCTCTCCTGCTGATGTTCAGGTGTATATCAGTATGTAGTGTCTCTACTTTAAAGAGTCCTCTCCTGCTGATGTTCAGGTGTATATCAGTATGTAGTGTCTCTACTTTAAAGAGTCCTCTCCTGCTGATGTTCAGGTGTATATCAGTATGTAGTGTCTCTACTTTAAAGAGTCCTCTCCTGCTGATGTTCAGGTGTATATCAGTATGTAGTGTCTCTACTTTAAAGAGTCCTCTCCTGCTGATGTTCAGGTGTATATCAGTATGTAGTGTCTCTACTTTAAAGAGTCCTCTCCTGCTGATGTTCAGGTGTATATCAGTATGTAGTGTCTCTACTTTAAAGAGTCCTCTCCTGCTGATGTTCAGGTGTATATCAGTATGTAGTGTCTCTACTTTAAAGAGTCCTCTCCTGCTGATGTTCAGGTGTATATCGTATGTAGTGTCTCTACTTTAAAGAGTCCTCTCTGCTGATGTTCAGGTGTATATCAGTATGTAGTGTCTCTACTTTAAAGAGTCCTCTCCTGCTGATGTTCAGGTGTATATCAGTATGTAGTGTCTCTACTTTAAAGAGTCCTCTCCTGCTGATGTTTCAGGTGTATATCAGTATGTAGTGTCTCTACTTTAAAGAGTCCTCTCCTGCTGATGTTCAGGTGTATATCAGTATGTAGTGTCTCTACTTTAAAGAGTCCTCTCCTGCTGATGTTCAGGTGTATATCAGTATGTAGTGTCTTTACTTTAAAGAGTCCTCTCCTGCTGATGTTCAGGGTGTATATCAGTATGTAGTGTCTCTACTTTAAAGAGTCCTCTCCTGCTGATGTTCAGGTGTATATCAGTATGTAGTGTCTCTACTTTAAAGAGTCCTCTCCTGCTGATGTTCAGGTGTATATCAGTACGTAGTGTCTCTACTTTAAAGAGTCCTCTCCTGCTGATGTTCAGGTGTATATCAGTATGTAGTGTCTCTACTTTAAAGAGTCCTCTCCTGCTGATGTTCAGGTGTATATCAGTATGTAGTGTCTCTACTTTAAAGAGTCCTCTCCTGCTGATGTTCAGGTGTATATGAGTATGTAGTGTCTCTACTTTAAAGAGTCCTCTCCTGCTGATGTTCAGGTGTATATCAGTATGTAGTGTCTCTACTTTAAAGAGTCCTCTCCTGCTGATGTTCAGGTGTATATCGGTATGTAGTGTCTCTACTTTAAAGAGTCCTCTCCTGCTGATGTTCAGGTGTATATCAGTATGTAGTGTCTCTACTTTAAAGAGTCCTCTCCTGCTGATGTTCAGGTGTATATCAGTATGTAGTGTCTCTACTTTAAAGAGTCCTCTCCTGCTGATGTTCAGGTGTATATCAGTATGTAGTGTCTCTTCATGTCTCCATGCTTTAATGTTCAAAAAGCTCTTTATTGTCCTCATACTGCCTGTGCTGCAGCACCTCGTTTCACCCTCTGTCTGAAACCAGAGCCCAGTTTGCTCTGATTGGTTAGCTGGCCGGCTCTGTTGGGATGTTCAACCTGCTTAGAGATGTCCCGCCCCCTAAGCCTATCATGTACAATGTGTTGGAGCGCTAGCCAATAGAAGCTTGAATGTTTCATAGTGACGTCATTATGTTCCTGAAGTAAACAAAGGAGGCAAATGTTAATGGATTTATATTTTGTATAGTAATCAGTATCTATGGAAAGCTGTCTGATAAATGTAGTGGAGTAGAAGCATAACATGTAAATACACAAGTAAAGTATCTTCATATTCTACAAGTACTTGATTAAATGTAGTTTATTACACTTCACCACATTGGTTCCAGGTTCACTGTATTCTCTATTTAAGCACATTTCAGGGTGGCGTGTCTTTAAACATGATGTCAGCAGAATTCAGTCTATGTTAAATAGTTCCTGTAATGTGCGTTCAGTCGCAGTTGGTTTCCTGTCGGCCATGACTCGCGGCTGGCTTCACTTCTCCAGGATGTGAGGTGTTTGCTGAAGCTGACGCCTCACGTATGACTGATTCAACAGCCCTGCAGAACAAACACTGAGCAAGAAAGACTGGGACTGCAGAGCAGATAGGAAGGATAAAGCGAGCGCTGTATTTACTCTTATCTTTACCCAGCAGGAAAATATGTGGGCCATACAGTAACTATGCTCTGCTACAGTGGTATAACTAAGTAAATCTACTCAATAAATGCACTGAAGAGTTTCAATGTTATGCTGCTTTATACTTCTACTCCACTAGTAAGATTTGACTTTTACTTGTAACAGAGTATTTTTACAACTCTGCTATTTTAACTTAAGTGATGGTCTAAGTGCTTCTTCCCCCCTGCTCTGTTTGCTTACAGTGTAATGTGCATGACGTTGACCCTCCCCATGTTTCCTATGCAGAGTGAATGAGAGTATGTACCACGCTCTTATCTACGCCACAGTGCTGGAAATGCAAGCCATGATGACTTTCCAGCCAGAAGACATCAGCAACGCAGGAAATACCATGAAGAGTGCCCAGGATGTCTGCCAGAGGTCAGGATGTGTTGTGAATGTATATTATAGAGCGGTGCAGAGATGACGTATTTCTGTAGGCTGACCCTGAAGTCCACCGACAACAATTACTCTGTTGTAAACAAACATTTATGATACTTACACGTTTAGTTCAGCAGGATAATCTCCACATGTTAACACCACTTTATGATTTCTGAAGTAAAAAGATAATGTTGGGCTATAAAGAAACTACAGCACGGTCACATGACTTCACCTCACCACCGCTAAGCTAAAGTTGGCTAATGTTGGGCTATAAAGGAACCACAGCACGGTCACATGACTTCACGTCACCACCGCTAAGCTAAAGGCGGCTAATGTTGCGCTATAAAGGAACTACAGTAGGCCTACGGTCACATGACTTCACGTCACCACCGCTAAGCTAAAGGCGGCTAATGTTGGGCTATAAAGGAACTACAGTACGGTCACATGACTTCACGTCACCACCGCTAAGCTAAAGGCGGCTAATGTTGGGCTATAAAGGAACTACTGCACGTGCACGGTCACATGACTTCACGTCACCACCGCTAAGCTAAAGGAGGCTAATGTTGGGCTATAAAGGAACTACAGCACGGTCACATGACTTCACGTCACCACCGCTAAGCTAAAGGCAGCTAATGTTGGGCTATAAAGGAACTACAGTACAGTCACATGACTTCATGTCACCACCGCTAAGCTAAAGGAGGCTAATGTTGGGCTATAAAGGCACTACAGCACAGTCACATGACTTCACGTCACCACCGCTAAGCTAAAGGCAGCTAATGTTGGGCTATAAAGGAACCACAGCACGGTCACATGACTTCACGTCACCACCGCTAAGCTAAAGGTGGCTAATGTTGGGCTATAAAGGAACTACAGCACGTTCACATGACTTCACGTCACCACCGCTAAGCTAAAGGCGGCTAACGTTGGTCTATAAAGGAACTACAGCAGGGTCACATGACTTCACGTCACCACCGCTAAGCTAAAGGTGGCTAATGTTGGGCTATAAAGGAACTACAGCACGGTCACATGACTTCACGTCACCACCGCTAATTTAAAGGAGGCTAATGTTCGGCTATAAAGGAACTACAGCACGGTCACATGACTTCACGTCACCACCGCTAAGCTAAAGGCGGCTAATGTTGGGCTATAAAGTAACTACAGCACGGTCACATGACTTCACGTCACCACCGCTAAGCTAAAGACGGCTAACGTTGGTCTATAAAGGAACTACAGCAGGGTCACATGACTTCAGGTCGCCACCGCTAAGCTAAAGGTGGCTAATGTTTGGGGTGATGACGTTTAGTCGTCTCATTTAGACACTTGTTAGCATCCTCCATTTTTAAATCCACCAGTGGGGTGTTAACTGATGTATTTTAAGTAGTAGAACAAAACGTTAAAATCTTTCCTGTTAACACAGACCTTATTTCAGGATAACAACTAAAAACACATTCAAGAAAACATTGACTTACAGGCAGCATATCGGAAATACTAAAATGCTAACTCATTTCTGGGTTTTAGGACTCATTCTAGCACCACTCTAGGTTTAAAACACTTTGCTTAGTGCTGCTTCTTCCCCAGACCGTGAGCCATATCAGGCACATTTGCATGATGCATTTACATGGCCTGATCCGGACCACAGCACCTATTTGACTGTTTGCATGAGTGAAAACAACGTTCCCTTCTCCTGTAGCGTGTTATTAGTGCATGATTGCTGACAGCAAATATGTGGTTGGCAGAACTAAACAGAATTGATGTGTTGATTCTGTTTCAGGTTTCGACGGAAGTCTGCAGTTTTATCCAACAAGTCAGAATCACTCACTGAAGGTAAAAAGGCTTCAATGCCTCGCCCTTCTTTTAAAACAATTTTTTTTGGGTTCAAAGTACATACATCCCCTCACAAAAGTCCTTCTAGACCAAATTAATTGCTCTACACTTTTTTGGCCATAACTCAAGAATTCATGCACTAATTATGACATTTTGAACAGGCATGAATCGACTTTCTTGAATTGATTTTTTTTTACAAACTAATAATCATTTACTGACATTCAACATCCTCCTCTTAACTTAATAGCTATATGCTAGCACTAGCAACCACAAAGGTTAATGAGGTATAATGTTTTTCCTAACAAGTGTGTCCTCGCCAGAAGTGATGATCGTTGCTGTTGGTTAGCTACCTAGCTAGCTAGCAATTTTTTTATCAGCTGTAGGAAATTATTACAAACTGCTCAATGAACCAAATAAAATTAACTCTGGCTTCTTTTTCAACACCATTGTAGTTTTTTTTAAATGAGTGAAAAATACACGTTCACTTTTATTTATATTGTTCTGAGTTCTGTCACTACCCGATCTGCACCCCTGCCCGATCTGTACTGCGCATGTGCGAGATGGTCCGCCATATTGGACAACTCCCTGCGGCAACCCAACTAGGACACTTGACACAGTGGTGTTTGGCAAAGCACACAAAAAACCGAGAGAGATGAGTTCTTGTTATTACAACGTGAGTTATTGTTGGCTTATCTAAAGCCAGTTGAGTAGCACTTGAAATGTTTGGCTCTATGAAACCTGATGTACTTATATGATTCTGTTTTCTTCAAGGTTGTGTCTTCCTGGTCGAATGTACTTATTGTAAGTCGCTTTGGACAAAAGCGTCAGCTAAATGCAATGTAATGTAATGTAATGTAATTACAACGTGACTTCACTATTATTTAACAACTCTTTTTATTGGGTTCTTTTATTTGGGGTTAATTACTGGTTAACTTCTGTTAGACAGCTATACTGAATAAATATTTACTGTAAATGTATGGCATTAATAATGTATATCTAATTACATTAACTGTGAATGTCTTTCATTTTATTTAAAATTACATAAAAGATTTTCCATAAAAAAAGTTGATTCAAGAACACATCTCTGTTATTAGATCAGTAATCACCTTAGACATGTATTCTCTCAAATTGTTGTAAAATACAAAAGGCTTCATTCTGTCAGATGCAATGCAAATCGTGCATCCGTTTAAGTTTAAAACTTGCGCATGCGCAATGCATATTGGTTAGACGTCAAGTATCCTATTTGGGTTGCCGTACGGAGTTGTCCAATATGGCGGACCATCTCGCACATGCGCAATGCAGATCGGGCAGGGATGCAGATCGGGTGGTGACCATGGATGTATAATAAGAACTGGATACAGCGTGGGAGGCGGGGCCTCATTCATTCCTATGAGAGTTGCTCAATGGCGCATGATGACAAAATGGCCCAACTTTTGAGAGAGCGAAACATCACAGATTACCCAGCATGCCTGAGAAGTACCCGTATGTGCACTCATAGCGCATGCGCAACTTTAACCAAAATGCTCGTTCACATCAAGCACGTCAATTTGCGTACACGTAACAGCACCGCACGTTCATGACAGCATGGTACTGGATTTATATTATCGAGGCGGCAGTTAACAGCTAGCTAGTAAATTATGCTAAGTTACACATCAATCGTTATGTACTTTTATATTACGCTGACATCAGGATCTAGTGATATCCAAGCAACAGAGCTTCATGTAGCATGATACTTGTGTGGGTTGTACATGAAACCACTTGGTAATATATAAAAATGTATATGTTGAAGCCTGTTATGATCAATTGTGAGTTAAAACTTTATCTAAAAAGTAAAGCTGGTGATGGATTACTGTGGTGGAGTTAAAATAACAATAGCCTATTTCTTTTTGAAATGTGATGGAGTAAAAGGATAGTAACTGATTATTCATGTTAAGTAGCCCACAAGTAACTAAAACAATTGCAAGTGCAATAAGAAGCTACAGGAACGCTAATCTACGTCGGTAATATTAACTTTATTTAATACAATATTTACGGTACAAGATTTACATCATACAGCCCATGTAGTATAAAAATGATGAATTACAGCGAACATGTGCAATATATCCATTATTACAGCTCCGTGGGCAGTAAGGCGATATGGGTCCGTTGTTATTGTGCATCCATGGGTAAAGAGAAACTCGTGTAGTACTGAACACGTAACATGAACGTGCCGGGCGGCGCGGCCCCGTGGGTTAGATGCGCGTTCATAATGCCGAGGGAAATAACTCTCAGAATAACGTTATTAGCACATTTTTACAACTTGAGGAACGAATGTTTTTAATAAGGGATATACAAGTGTTCATACTGGGTAGTTTATTTAGTTTAAAAAAAATTATCCAACAAGTTACAGACCACTCTTTCCCCATGTAAGTCAATGGGAAAAAGTGTTTCCGGGCCCAGCAACCTAAAGGAAGTGTAGTACCGCCGTTTGACCAGCACGAATATTCTCATCAGACTCCGGCGCACTTCCTGGGGGCTTGATAGTGACAGGGGCTATCACGGCTAATGTGCAGCTTCAGTGACGTAGCCAAGATGGCGGTCGTTGAGTGTGAGAAGTGTCTCTTTTAGACCGCTATGAGAGCACCATCCAGTACTCAGAGTGCATTTAGCCATACCTTGGATGCACTTATGCACCCAAAATACCACGTGTGTGTACAGAAGCACACAAACGAGACACAGCAGCATCTCCCTCCTTGGAGCCAAAGGCACCAGCCAGTTACAAGGCAAAATAAATGCTCGATTCAGTCTGACGATCGTTTGGCACCGTCTGTGGCTGGATTTGATGCTTTATTATTGCTTGTTAACTACGATCACTGTACGTTAAACTACGATCACTGTACGTTAAACTACGATCACTGTACGTTAAACTACGATCACTGTATGTTAAACTATGATCACTCTACGATCACTGTACGTTAAACTATGATCACTGTACGTTAAACTACGATCACTGTTCGTTAAACTACGATCACTGTACGTTAAACTACGATCACTGTTCGTTAAACTACGATCACTGTACGTTAAACTACGATCACTGTACGTTAAACTACGATCACTGTACGTTAAACTACGATCACTGTACGTTAAACTATCACTGTTACTCAATGTGTGTGTGTGTGTGTGTGTGTGTGTGTGTGTTTGTATGGATGTGTTTCTGCAGTGCAGCTTCATGCAGAAGCTTGTTACGCAGAGTGTCAACTCCAAAGAGCTGCCCTCACCTTCCTACAGGTGCTAATCTGATTTTTTTTTTTTAACTGTTTATATCCTACCTTACAGCACGCCACAGTGTCTAGATAATTATGGCATGAAACTTCCACTAATATTCGTGTTTGGGTTTTTCTTTTCCAGGATGAGAACATGGTGAGTTTTATCAAAGGAGGGATGAAAGTGCGGAACAGTTACTTAATTTATAAGTAAGTAATCAGAGAACAAGAGGGTGTATATTGAGTGTGTGATTAAGTTATCTAACTGTTTGATATCCACACTTGTTGCAGAAAGTAATTATTGTATTGCTAGTAAAGGGGCACTTGATTATTTTTGCTTTCTTTAGTTTTAAAAATAAAGAAATAAACGTGATAATGTCAAAGTGATCCGGCAGCCGGGAAGGTATGGAGTCATATGGTGTTTCTCAATGTCGAGGAAGGCTGCTCCAGAGCCACTATTTCAAGCATGCTACGTCATCGAGTGCCGCCAAAGGACTGTTCCAATGTCCAGGATGCTTGGAATTCTACCGAGCCCGACGTACTTCGTTGCGGGAAATTTCGAGGCTGCACATGTGTATCCTCCGCGGTCTTAAAATCCCCACAATGCTTTGCGCACGGACCAATTTCCAAAATCTTTGGCAGAAAATGTAAGGCGGGGCCTCGCATATGACGCACACTTGCTCGCCTGTTCCACTCTTCGTTTTCCGAATGAAAGGAAGTATTCTTGCCTCGCCTCTGATCGAGCTGACTCGGAAGACTTGTCCCACCAAGGAAGCGTCCTCGAAATTGAGAAACACCCATAGAGTGACATAAAAAAAATACATCTGTTAAAAAATATAAGAGATTTAATTAAAGAATAAATAAGAACAAATATATATAAAAAAAATTATTATAAGGTATTGAAATTATTTTTGATAATTATTTGTTCATTTTTTGTATTTATTTACAGATGTTTTAAATTGATAAGTTTAAATGTTATATATTTATTACTTTATTGTTTCTGTAGTTATTTATTAAATTTCAATAAGGTAATTATTTGGTATTTTTTCTTATTCTTTTACCCATTGCTTTTCCCTGTTGTGTTAAGAAACATTTCAGATTTATATATTATGTTTTAATGATTTGATTTACGTATTTTATTATTTGATTTATTCTTCTTTAATATTTTCATAATTATTCTTAACTATGGCACTTGTGTTATACCATAGGGAGGTTCTAAATCAATATTACATTTCATTATAGGAAGTCTAATTTATAAAGTCAAGCAGTACATTTTCTATCCACATCATTATGCTTTTATATTAATTATGTTGAACTGTATTTCAAATCATTTAGATTTTTGCCTTTTTTTCCATCCAGAGAACTGCATACCTTCACTAAATCTCACAGCTGTAACAAAGGGCCGAGCCACGTTCACTTAGAGGGGGGGATATCGTTCGGAATAGGGGCGTTTAATCTGGTACGTCACAGAAATATCTTCCAGCGCTTTTTAAATTGTATAAAATTGTGTCTTTGTACCTTTCAGTTCATCAGGTCTCCTTTATTCACAGACACTGTCTCTATTTCCTCCTCGGATACTCAAAGTGTTGGAGTTTGCAGGTTTCTCTGGCGACAAGGTGGGAAATATAATGTCTTCTATTAAGTTACACTTATTCACGAACATAATAAATGTTATTTAAATGTGTGTTTTCTGTTTGTAGGAGTACGGTCTGTCTCTTCTGCATGACGGTGCGACGGGGAAGAATCTGCGCTCCATGCTGTGCGCTCTGCTAGTGCTCTGCTACTACACCTTCCTCACAGTCATACTAGGTAAAGCTGACCCTTTTTATATACAGTGGTGCAGGGATGACGTATTTCTCTAGTGGACCCTGAAGGCAGCATCTCTCTGGTTCCCTCCACACGAAGCCAATGGGATTTTCCATTTGATTTTGGAATATTGCAGAAAAATTATTTCCGTTTATGATACTTACCCGTTTTGTTCAGCAGGATAATCTCCACATATTAACACCACTTTATGATTTTTGAAATTGAAAGCTAACATTAGGCTATAAAGGAACTACAGCACGGTCACATGACTTCACGTCACCACCGCTAAGCTAAAGGTGACTAATGTTGGGCTATAAATTAACTACAGCACGGTCACATGACTTCAAATCACCACTGCTAAGCTAAAGGAGGCTAATGTTGGGCTATAAAGGAACTACAGCACGGTCACATGACTTCACGTCACCACCGCTAAGCTAAAGGTGGCTAATGTTGGGCTATAAAGGAACTACAGCACGGTCACATGACTTCATGTCACCACCGCTAAGCTAAATGTGGCTAATGTTGGTCTATAAAGGAACTACAGCACGGTCACATGACTTCACGTCACCACCGCTAAGCTAAAGGTGGCTAATGTTGGCGTGATGATGTTTAGTCGTCTCATTTAGACACTTGTTAGCAACCTCCATTTTTAAATTCACCAGTGGGGTATTTACTGACGTATTTTATGTCCTAGAACAAAAAATAAAAATCTCTTCAGCTTGTGTTAACCACTGGCCTTATTTCAGGCTAACAACCTAAAACACATTCAGAAAACCTCCAGACGAGGAAACAGGAAGCGCTAAAATGCTGACTAATTACAAAGACTCATTCCTGCACCGCTCTATATACCTTTGTATCCATCAGAGATTCTTATAATGTGATTATGTTATATCTGCTCCATCCTCTCAGGTACGGGGGAGGGAGATGTGACTGAAGCTGAAAAGCTGCTGAAACCTTTCCGGCTCCGTTATCCACGGGTGAGTAAAAAAAAAGAATCATCTGTTTAAAGAAAAACTCCAAAAAGTCACTATTTTGTTTCATAAAAAGAGAAGGCGTTTACTCTTGTTTTGATGCTACAGTGCAGACATTAATGCAAAGGCTTTATTTGTCATATGCACAACAGCTACAGTGCAGTTTTCGGCAATACAAATTCCTTTATAGCCTTTTTACTTTTTTAAGAGCTTTAAGTGAAAGCAATCAATGTTCCAAAATCCAATTGAAAAATCCCATTGGCTTTCTTACCAGGGAACCGTTGCATTGCTAACTCCCGTTTAAAAAAAAAAAAAAAAAGGTCGTCCCTCCACCACTGCATTATAAATGTATTCAGGCTATTGTTCAATTTTGACACTATCATTAGTCTCACTATCCTTTTCTTTCTAACGTCATCCCCACCCTGATTACTTTCATCTGAAACTCACTCCACCTTCCACTAACGGCACCCAGGATCCTCTTTTCCGTCATTAAACACTCACACACCTTCACGCTATCACTCTCCACGTCCTGACTCTTATTCTTGGAGATTCTCGATCCACCTTTAACCTACATGCTGCCTATCCCAGAAAACAAACTCTGACACAGTGTGTACCAAACCAGACCTGAGACGTTAAAGGTTAAACCCTGCCAAGAGTTATTGATACACATCAGACCTGCCCTTTAGATAGAAGATAATATAACATACAGTAGATTAACCTGTAATACTTTCATTCTTTCTTTATTTTCTCGAGGTACAGGGATGGGGAAGGTGTTTGACTATGTGTATACGTGTATATGTGTGAGTATGTAGGTGTGTATATGTGTATGTGTGTGTATGTATGTGTGTATGTACATATGTGTATACACAGGAAATATTGGTGAGTATTTTTTCCAGAGTAATTACTATTTTGCTCTGAAATAGTGATATTTAATCATTTTGGAGTGTATTTATTACTCATAGCTTCTAGAGTGCGATCAAAAATGCAGAGTCATACCATGACCACGCTGTAACGGAGGTGATCTCTGGGGCCGTAGATCTCGGTCTCTTATATTATATAGCTTCATTATTGGCGAAGTATATTACTTTGTTCCACGCTAAAACATTGTGCATGTGAATCTATGTCATCTATGCATCTATTTGTCACGATCTGTCTATGTTTTAGTTTGTCTGTCTCTGTTTCCTGTTGTAGTTTGAAAAGTGTTCCCCCTCCCGTCTTGTCTGTTGCTGGTGTTCACCTGGTGCCCTTGTGTTTCTCCTCCCTCCTCACCTGTGTCTTGTTGGTTTGATTAGTCCTGTGTGTATTTAGGTTCTGTTTTCCTGTTAGTGTGTGAGGTCCTTAGGCGCGTTCACACCGCAGTACTTTTCCCACTTTAGTTCCGATATAGTTCCGAAATGTTGCGTTCACACCAAAAAGAGCCGGAACTAAAATTAGTTCATGAGAACCTTTTCACCCCCTTTTCCGTCCCTGCTAGAGAGCAGGTACTTTCGTGGGAGAAAAAGGTTCCTGTGTCTGATTGGCTGGGCGGATTGCAAACCATGCCCCGTAAAACTCTGAAAAAGTTTTGTGAAGCCGCCATTTTATTATCCTCGCATTAGCATTATTAGCATTAGCATTAGCCCAGCGCAGAAACGCAGAGAGATTAACTTATGGCAACACAAAAGAAAACATGGGAGCGGTGGAGATGAGGAGGTGTCGGCGTTCTGGCCGTTTACTCGGAAGGCTTCAGTAGAAGCTGCTGGGAGTCCCAGCAGCTTCTACTGAAGCCAGTCCCCAACTCCGGGGACTTCCGGCCGGGGACTCCGGGTGGCAGTATACGCCGTGAAGTGGTTTGCGGCCTGCCAGTAAACCCAAAGCAGAAGAAGAAGAAGTGACGTCAGCGGCTTCATTTGCCTAATCCACCCCCAGGGACTTATTCCGGTGTGAACGCGATCTGTACTTAGTTCATGAGAACTAAAGAGTTCTCATGAACTAAGTTCTCATGAACCTTTGTGGGAAAAGTACTGCGGTGTGAAAGCGCCTCTTGTTGCTGGTGACTGTGTTCACATGAGACAGTCATATTGAGGCTGTGTATCATGAACCACAGCGATGAATAAATGCCCACACCGGGTTGTATTTGAACTCTCTGCCTCTGCCTCCTTGCTTGGTCGGGCCGCTCAATGGTCAGCTTCACACACGCCCACTGTTACTTAAGCACTTTGGTTTATTGACCTTTTATAATATAAAGATCATTATGGTTCATGTATTCTATTCTGAGTAAAATGACCTTCTATTGGGAGTGAAATGACGTTCGATTGGGAGTAAAATGGCAGTAGAGTTGTTTTTAATATACACTACATAGAGTAAATAATCATTAAGCAGAGTCAAATGTAAGCACATAATAGAGTAAAATGAACTCTAAAAATACAACTCTGAACAAAGAGTACATTTTACTCTATTTTAGAGTAAAATGTTCTTCAATTTGAGTAAATTTTACTCTGACATATATACATATACAGTAAATTTCTCTATCAACAGGTAAAGCAGATTAATAATAATAATAATAATTAATAATAATGACAATTACTGCAGATTATAGATTATAAATAAATCATTTAGGGACAAGGGGGTGAGATTAAATAAATTATACTTCTTCTCACTCCTTTTCGAACACTCGATGTGGGACTGTTTATGTTGCCAATGCTGTTGTTGTAAATGTGATTTTTTTTGTTTTGATTTCTCTTACATGACTATGCACTGCAACATTTGTTTTGTTTTGTAATTATTTATTTTACTTGTTCGAAATAAAATGAATCAATCAACTCTTCTTTCCAGGGAGCGATATTCCTCTTCTTTGCAGGCAGGACTGAAGAGATCAAGGGGAACATTGATGAGGTTGGTTCAGTGATGTGTCAGTGATATGGCTTAGAAGAAGGACAACCAATATTATATATCCTGTACATGTAATAATCATTAAGTCTCACAAAGTATTAATGATCCAGTCAGTCATCTAACGCGTAAAACCACATTGTGAGTTCCTAAATACAGCAAGCGTCCCTGATGGCAGTAGAAAATCAACACGTCCTTATACCAAGTGTAACGGTCTCAGTTTTAAACATGTGGTAAAATGTGTGTCGAGGTTTGATAAGCATCAAAACTACTTGTTTAGTAAGAGATAAATGACCTATGGATGTGACCCCCAAATGTTACTGGCCTCAGGCCTAGGGGTACCTGGGCCAGCAGCAGACTCTACCTCTGTATATGAAAAACACACGAGGCAGAAATGTTAGCTTGTTTGTAACTCAACTGCAGGATTTAATCTGCTCATTTGGAAACAATCCACAATAAAAACATTTATCCATGCTCATTTCCATGAGGCAACAACACCAGAGATCAATAAGGCAACAGCATCCACATAACAACGATGACATCATGGTAAAAATACAACAGAAATGTACAATAAAATCGTCACACTCAGAACTCACTGTTATCCTCACACTCAAATTCCAATACAATACACACACTTCAAAGACATGATGACTTAACATGAAGATGTAACGTGAAAGATGTCAAATGAAGCGTGACATGAAGGTTTAACTTGAAGACAAAACGAGGAAACGTATTGTTATTGGTGATATGATGACTTAATAGGAAGTTGTAACTTGACTCGTGATGTATTGATTTAACGCGAGACGTGAAGCTGTATCGTGAACTGTGAAATGATGACCTGCGTGAAGTCGTAATATGAAGATGTAATGTGAATACGTAACGTGATGTGTGATATGACGTAACATGAAGACGTAACTTCAACTGTGTGAAACTATAATGTGACGTGACTTGAAGACGTAACTTGAAGACGTAACTTGAAGACGTAACTTGAAGACGTAACGTGAAGACGTAAGTTGAAGACGTAACTTGAAGACGTAACTTGAAGACGTAACGTGAAGACGTAACGTGAAGACGTAAGTTGAAGACGTAACTTGAAGACGTAACGTGAAGACGTAACGTGAAGACGTAAGTTGAAGACGTAACTTGAAGACGTAACTTGAAGACGTAACGTGAAGACGTAACGTGAAGACGTAACTTGAAGACGTAACTTGAAGACGTAACGTGAAGACGTAACGTGAAGACGTAACGTGAAGACGTAACGTGAAGACGTAACTTGAAGACGTAACTTGAGGACGTAACGTGAAGACGTAACTTGAAGACGTAACGTGAAGACGTAACGTGAAGACGTAACTTGAAGACGTATTGTAAACAGTGACATAACGTTGAAATGCTTAACTATCCTTAATTTACTTAAAATAAGTCAACGTTGACCCTTTTTTGTTTTACACGGGACACAAACTGCATTATATAACTGCACAATTGTCATTTATAAATAAGGCACTAAATGTATGCTAACAGAAATACAGTATGTATGACTAACATAACATCTAAATCAAATATGGGACAGAAAACAGTACAGAGCCATGAACTCTTTACCGGTTCACATCATTCAGGAAAATTCTCAAGTACATTTCAAAAGGTTGCTAAAAAATTATTTAAGTATTACAAAGTAAATTTGAACTATGTCTGTGGCTATGTATGCATATATTATTATGTACACTTATTTGTATTTACTTTTGTTTGGCCTTAGGATGGCGATAATTGGATGACCATTTTAGTTTTCACTTCATTTCACTGTAAATTGCATGAAATTATGAGCTGTTTTAATTTTGTTGTATGTTTATTTATGTGTTGAGTGTGTGAGGACCCCAGGAAGAATAGCCAATGCTCATGCTAGTGCTAATGGGGATCCTAATAAAGACATAAGACATAAAAAACTCAAAGCCCCTGAGCTACGGAGGTCCAGCTCCTCCAACTCATCTTCCCTGTTATGTATCTCTTTTAATGCGCTGTATCTTCTTCCTGTGGTACCAGGCTATTGCGCTCTTTGAAGACGGCTGCAAGGCCCAGCAGGCGTGGAAGCAGTTCCACCACATGTGCTACTGGGAGCTGATGTGGTGCTACTCCTACAAGCGAGACTGGAAGATGGCGTACTTCTACGCAGACCTGCTGAGCAAGGAGAGCCGCTGGTCCAAGGTACAGCACGGGAGACAAGGGAAGATCTGAGGGAGTTTAGTGAGATGTTCTATTGATTCAAACCTCTCCAATAATCCTGAGGAATAAGAATGAAACCAGTGTTTCTCTCCATAGGCCATGTACGTTTACATGAAAGCTGCTTACCTCAGCATGCTGCCTATAGACGAGTCCAGACCGTTCGGGGACAACGAAGTCGACCTCTTTAGGTAAAAACATGCACAATAACACATCAATCGTTCCATGGCAAGACCACCAGACTCAGGGACAGTTTTATTCCACAGGCAATAAGACTGAACGTTTTAAAGAACATCCATAAACATTCACCTGTTTGCATTTAGCTAATTATTTATCTAACATATCATTCCATTTACTTGTGTATAGACTCTTCTTGCACTATTTCTATTCTATTTGTATTTACTTGCACCTCTTAAAACATTCTCTTGCACTGTTTTATCAAATCAAGTTTTATTTATATAGCACATTTATAAACGATCTTTGGTGGAGCCAAAGTGCTGAACATGTAATAAACATAGCCTACAGTAGAGACACTTTACAGCAAATACAACAGCACAGATTGTTCAGAATATCAGTATGAGAAAAACGACACCCTCTGTCCTCAGACCCTCTGTCCTTAGACCCTCTGTCCTTAGACCCTCTGTCCTCAGACCCTCTGTCCTCAGACCCTCTGTCCTCAGACCCTCTGTCCTTAGACCCTCTGTCCTCAGACCCTCTGTCCTTAGACCCTCTATCCTTAGACCCTCTGTCCTCAGACCCTCTGTCCTTAGACCCTCTGTCCTTAGACCCTCTGTCCTCAGACCCTCTGTCCTTAGACCCTCTGTCCTTAGACCCTCTGTCCTCAGACCCTCTGTCCTTAGACCCTCTATCCTTAGACCTTCACATCGTACAAGGAAACACTTCCAGAGAAACCCCCAGTTTAAAGGGAACATGGGAGAAACCTCAGGGAGAGCAACAGAGGAGGGATCCCTCTCCCAGGACGGACAGACGTGCAATAGATGCCGTGTGTAAATCGAACAGATAATACATTTTACAGCAAATAGACCGAATGTTAGGAAATGCATGTGTCTGTAATAAGAAGATGAATCCACGAGGATGTCAGCTACAATCCTGAGGAAGCCATCAGGGAAGCAGCATGACGAGACCCAAGGCAGGACCGCAGAGACAGGTTCAGCCACGACCCGAAGTCCACGACTTAATCCAGAACTCAGGATAGAGGATCCAAGACACAGGACTACAGAGGATCGGCCTCGACTCCGGATCCCGGCGTAGATATAGATACAAAACAAGAAAAAATGTGGCTGGGTTAATCGGAACAAGAGAATACACAGACACAGACAGAGAGACGGAAGAACAAGCACTCCCTTAGAATAGGTTGAGGGCAAAGGGTAGCAAGTAAGAAATATAGGTGGAGAGGCACACTCAGGGAACAAGGTCCCCACTGGAGCCTTAGTTGGAAATGTATGAGAGATAGGGAGGTACGCTGTGTCTACGAATTGTAACACTCCCCGGTCTGTCCAAGCCACTCTACAAACCGTTTATCAGTTGTATTTGTTCTATGTCCCATATATTCATGTTGCTCTGTTGGAGGAGCCTGGGACTTCAGTTGTTCATAGCCATATCGACACTGTAGCTGCTGTGCACATGACAATAAAGCCTTGAAACTTGAAAGATGATTTATCTCATAAACAAACAGATATTGTCCCAAGGCCTATGTTATAGATGCATTTTACAATGTATGCATAGTCAAGCTATGAGTGGCGTTGTTTACATACCTCTATGTGTGCTTTGTGAGAAGCTGTAGGGTTATGACCCGTGCTGGATCTTTATGACTCAGAATTTAACCTGTCTCTCACCGTTCTCGTTAACCTTTTTGTCGCCACAGACAAAGTTAATGACTAGCTAGCTGGTCAACATAATGGAGCATTCCTATTTTCCCTTGGGAGTTGATGAGGCCCAAAAACGGAGCTAAAAGTTAATATTAGATTTAGATTCATGAGTTGGATAGAAGCACAACTCCAAACGAATCATTTCTCTTCATGTGTGTATATAGATATGCAAAAATAAGCTAACATGTTTGGTGTAAGATGATAATGTCATTGTGTCCAACACTGCCCCCTTGTGGCCAGAAATAATGAAATGCAGGTTCAAAAGTAGAGGTTTTAGACACTGTCTGACTTAAAAAATTTAAAACTTGTGGACGTTGTCACCATCATGTCACTCATTGGTTAACAGGACATATTTTTTAAGCCTGAAGTTGTTTTTGGCAGCCATAGAAAATGCTAAGTGACCAGCTAACACTAGCTAGCGTGGTTAGAAAGGTCAACTATCATAATCATTTGGAGGTTATTTTTGCGAACTGTTAATTCACGAAAAAGATGTCGTGGCAACTCCTAAGAATGGCTTTAGCACAAGAGGATACTGAAGTAATGTGAAAATTAGGGTTAATTTTGCTCATAGACTACTATACAAAAATATACAACTTGTCAATCACAAGGTAGCCCCGCCCTTAAGAATCTATTTAATTCATATGGGACCATAAATAACAAAATGGCCATCATTCTGTATTAAAGAAAATACTTGTAACTTGCGTTTGAAAGCATAAACTCATTATGGAAATGTTTACTGAGGTAATGCATACAGTGAGAAGTATGGGTCATTTCCTCTTAGACTTCTATACAAGTGGAGTCGCCCCCTGCTGGCCCACAAAATAATGCAGATTTGAGGCACTTCACGATTGGCTTCACTTTTCAGACCCGGAGGTTTTTCCTTCTTCTTCTCATGCCTTTTTACCCAATTTGTCTTTTTCATTGTGCCGTTCCTTTTAGACAAGTGTCCACTTTAAAGCAGAAGATAGCCGGAAAATCTCCCCCGACTGAGAAGTTTGCGATCCGTAAAGCCCGACGCTACAAGGCTCGCTGCCCGATCCGGCTGCCAGTGCCAGTGCTGGTAACACACACACACACACACACACACACACACACACACACACACACACACACACACACACACACACACACACACACACACACACACACACACACACACACACACACACACACACACACACACACACACACACACACACACACATCTTCATCTGTAGTAGATTAAACCGATTTCTCAGTAACTGTCTATCAGCAGCTACATCTCGCTGCTTCTGGAGATAAATCCAGTTCTTTAACCTTTGTCGTGCTCGGGTCAAATCTGACTGTGTTACTACTTCCATCGATCATAAAGATTGTGTTTTATATTTGATTGGCTTTATGATATCCTCCACAGTAGGCATTTGAACATGTATAATTGCTGATCGCCACTTTCATTGGAGTTTGAGTGGTTTAGTCAACTTTGTAACACCTATGTTCCTGGTCGAAACACACACACACACACACACACACACACACACAGACACACACACACACACACACACACACGATGGGTTTGAATCCCAGAGCGTTAAAAGGTCAACACTCTTGAATCCTTCAAAAAATCTCTCAAAACTCACTTTTTCACTCTAGCTTTCAAACTCTGATCAACAACCCTCCACTTTACTCACACTTGGATTAGGACTACTGTTGTTGTGTTTTTTGCTTTCTTTGTCCTGTTTCTGTTTCTGATTTTGTGTAAAGCATTTTGAGCACTTGGAAAAGCGCTATAAAAATGAAATGTATTATTATTATAGGAGATGATGTACATGTGGAACGGGTTCAGTATGATCAGCAAACGGCCGGAGCTGACTGAAGGCATGATGCAGACTTTGGTTGAGGCAGAGCGATGTCTCCTGGAGTCTCCCGGTAATGAAGCTCATCCCAAAACGATGTGACGGAAGAAATCCTTATCGCTCAATGGAAATGGAAACTTAGATTACTTCTATGTGAAGACGTCTGCTCTCTCCTCCACAGAGAAAGAGTATCTGGTGGATGACCGCTGTGTGATCTACCTGCTGAAGGGTCTGTGTTTGAAGAACCAGGGTCTCCTGCAAGCTGCTGAGGAGTGCTTCAACAAAGTGTTTACAAGGTGAGGTCCAATGGGTGTTGAAAACGCCCTGGTTCCCTCCACAAAGAAAACATGGGATTTCTCCATGTGATTTTGGATAATGTCAGAAAATCATCTCTGTGTCAAACAAACGTTCATGATACTTACACGTTTAGTTCAGCAGGATAATCTCCACATGTTAACACCACTTTATGATTTCTGAAGTAAAAGCTAACGTTAGGCTAATAGGCTATACAGCAGGGGTCGGCAAGTAAGTTTGGCCTTGGGACAATTTTTTTCTGAGCCACTACATGGCGGGACATAATCAAAGACCAGACCCTCTGGCTAGACCCGCCCAAAGGGAGGCTCGTCCTCTCTAGCCCCATTTCAGTCCCATGTTAAAGGCCAGGGCTATTATCTGTATTTTAACAGACTGCTTCTCGTTTTGCGCCGTCCCGTTCAAATGAAATCGCCGTCAATCAATGTTCCATGCTCGCGCCGGGGCCGGAGGAGGGGTTACAAGGCTCGCGTCTTGTGCTGCATTCACTTGCACTCGGACACAGAGGTTGCGCTATACTTTTTCGCTGCCCGTCATTTTGACGGACAGGATTGTAACATTTCCGTCAAAATCCATTATTACCCGTCGGTCTGTACACAACTGACGGGGGGGGGTGGGGGGGTGGAAGAGCACGCTCGTGAACTGTCAAGGGGGGGGGGGAGGATTAGCGCCGGTGGTATGCCGTGTTGTGCATGCCCACAGCACCTCGCGGGAGCGCGCCACAGCGTAAAGCATAAACTCCCAGACATTTCAATGATTTGTACGGCATAGTTAGGTCTGGAAACGACAGAAGGGCATAACACCGCGACCCTGCTGCGGGGAAACTTTGGCGCTGTTCTGAGTTTGTTCTAATCCGTCAAAATGACGGACTGATTTCAGATTTTCCGTCATTGTCAAAATAATTCTGTCATAGACGGAATATATTCGGTTAACGCAACCTCGACATTAGAGATTTTCTCTCATAAATGTCCGATGAGCCACAACTTTTCTTTCAAAACAAAGCTGCCAGCTGGGGGGGCAGCATATGCACCGCCCTCCATGATCAAGAGGCTTCTCCGATTTTGTTGTCAATGTTTTTATATCCTAAGTAAACATTACGTTTGAATGATTTAGTGAGCTGGTGTTATTTTTTTCAAACCACACTATTTGTTGTTGGCTCCACCACGCGCTGTCCAGCTACTTATTGATCCACTATCAGCGTCAGTGCACCCGCTGCCAGATTGTGCCTGTGCTGTGTGTCATTCACTCTCAACATGGATACAAGTACAATAAGCATTCTTCAGGTGTAGGTAGATTCTCTATTCGGACAGTATAGCCTATATGTGTGACTGTCGTCCGATATTATAAAAATAAAAATAAAATCTCAAAATAATATTTTCTTTTTATTCTCAAAATAGTTTTCCTGGCCAAATATTATTGCTGGCGGGCCACCAATGGCCCGTGGGCCGCCTATTGCCGACCCATGCTATACAGGAACTACAACACGGTCACATGACTTCACGTCACCACCGCTAAGCTAAAGGCGGCTAATCTTGGGCTATAAAGGAACTACAGCACGGTCACATGACTTCACGTCACCACCACTAAGCTAAAGGCGGCTAATCTTGGGCTATAAAGGAACTACAACACGGTCACATGACTTCACGTCACCACCGCTAAGCTAAAGGCGGCTAATCTTGGGCTATAAAGGAACTACAGCACAGTCACATGACTTCACGTCACCACCGCTAAGCTAAAGGTGGCTAATCTTGGGCTATAAAGGAACTACAGCATGGTCACATGACTTCAAGTCACCACCGCTATGCAACAGGAGGCTAATGTTGGCTATAAAGGAACTACAGCACGGTCACATGACTTCACGTCACCACCGCTAAGCTAAAGGTGGCTAATCTTGGGCTATAAAGGAACTACAGCACGGTCACATGACTTCACGTCACCACCGCTAAGCTAAAGGCGGCTAATTTTGGGTTATAAAGGAACTACAGCACAGTCACATGACTTCACGTCACCACCGCTAAGCTAAAGGCGGCTAATTTTGGGTTATAAAGGAACTACAGCACGGTCACATGACTTCACGTCACCACCGCTAAGCTAAAGGCGGCTAACGTTGGGCGTGATGACGTTTAGTCGTCTCATTAGGCACTTGTTAGCAACCGCTGTTAATAAATCCACCAGTGGGGTATTTACTGACGTATTTTATGTGGTAGAACAAAACGTTAAAATCTCTTCAGCTTGTATTAACCACAGACCTTTAGGACTTATCCCTTGACCCTTGAGCCTGAAAACAGTGTAGATTTCCCGCCTGATAACAATTAACCATCTCAAAATATTGTTTCCGGTTGTTCCTCTTCCCCAGGACTCCTTCATGCTGCATGTTTCCAGGGGTTCCTTTTGTTGATGCCGGCCTGTTATTCGGACAAGTTGCAAAAACTCAGAGTTTGACATTGTGGCACACGAGTTTCTGTAATTCAAAACTGCCAGAAAAACCTTCTGGCATCAACAACAGGAAATGAAAACCCTTTGAGACGTACAATTTTGATGAAACTGAAACTTTTCTACCTGTTCACAACTAGAACCGGTTCTCCCTTTCAATCCCTGCCCCGCAGCTTGAACAGCTTAGTGTCGTCTTACCTTTAGTCAAATGTTACCTGAAGCTCTTATTCGTGTCTTTAAGAAAATCCCCATGAGCAGCTCCTACTCCTATTGACAGGGTAATGTTTGCTTAGCAACTCACCCACCAAGTCCTACAGTCAATATTTACCCAGCCGTTCAGAATGACATGACTTCTTGTTGCAATCACACTGACTGTAATGAGTAAGGAGGCTTTTAACCAGGTCTTGTAAGGAAAGAAAAGTGTAATCATTTATTTCATTAACCTACCTGCAGGGAAACAGGATATGTTGTGTGTAAAGTGTAACTGTAACGGTTTGTTTACTTTTTCAGTGAAAAGAAGATTAAGTTCGATCACTACCTGGTGCCCAACTCTCTGGTGGAGCTCAGCCTGCTCTACATCGCCCAGGGAAGAAGAGACGAGGCTATCAAACTCCTGCACAAAGCCAAGTAAGTCTGAACACACAACCCAGTCTCACGGCATTTCGTGTTATAGTCATGAAATTAATGTAATCGATTGATTCGTGTTCACCAACACGATTTTCGCTTTTTTTTCGAGACACACACAGAACGATTTTAAAAGCAATGTATTTCTCTTGGCAGTATGTTTCGTGCCTGCAACACGTCTGTTTGTCCGGTCGGGTCTTGGAAGACCGGAAGCTGTGTGGTTCATAAAAACATTTTCTTACTCAATATCTTACCCTAACCCTTTTATTTTAAATTGTATAATTTTTTTTGCCGTCCGCGAGGAAAATAAATGTCTCAGAGCCTCAGAATACTGACATCTGTATTTTTTTTATCTCTTTTTCCGTCTAATTTGTTATTATTTTAATTGCTTTTAAAATCGTTCCGTGTGACACGAAAAAAATGGGGAAATCGTGTTGGTGAACACGAATCAATAGATTCATTTTGTGACTATAACACGAAATGCCGTGAGACTGTGATGGAATACAGCAGTGCAGGGATTAAGTATTTCTGTAGTGGACACCCTGAAGCCATCATCTCCCTGGTTCACTTACATACAGACATGTTTACTTCAGCAGGATAATCTCCACATATTAACACCACTTCATGATTTCTGAAGTAAAAAGTTAATGTTGGGCTCTAAAGGAACTACAGCACGGTCACATGACTTCACGTCACCACCGCTAAGCTAACGGAGGCTAATGTTGGGCTATAAAGGAACTACAGCAAGGTCACATGACTTCACGTCACCAGCGCTAAGCTAAAGGCGGCTAAGGTTGGGCTATAAAGGAACTACAGCAAGGTCACATGACTTCATGTCACCAGCGCTAAGCTAAAGGCGGCTAATGTTGGGCTATAAAGGAACTACAGCACGGTCACATGACTTCACGTCACCAGCGCTAAGCTAAAGGCGGCTAAGGTTGGGCTATAAAGGAACTACAGCAAGGTCACATGACTTCACGTCACCAGCGCTAAGCTAAAGGCGGCTAAGGTTGGGCTATAAAGGAACTACAGCAAGGTCACATGACTTCACGTCACCAGCGCTAAGCTAAAGGCGGCTAATGTTGGGCTATAAAGGAACTACAGCACGGTCACATGACTTCACGTCACCAGCGCTAAGCTAAAGGCGGATAAGGTTGGGCTATAAAGGAACTACAGCAAGGTCACATGACTTCACGTCACCACCGCTAAGCTAAAGGCGGCTAATGTTGGGCTATAAACGAACTACAGCAAGGTCACATGACTTCACGTCACCACCGCTAAGCTAAAGGAGGCTAATGTTGGGCTCTAAAGGAACTACAGCACGGTCACATGACTTCACGTCACCACCGCTAAGCTAACGGAGGCTAATGTTGGGCTATAAAGGAACTACAGCAAGGTCACATGACTTCACGTCACCAGCGCTAAGCTAAAGGCGGCTAAGGTTGGGCTATAAAGGAACTACAGCAAGGTCACATGACTTCATGTCACCAGCGCTAAGCTAAAGGCGGCTAATGTTGGGCTATAAAGGAACTACAGCACGGTCACATGACTTCACGTCACCAGCGCTAAGCTAAAGGCGGCTAAGGTTGGGCTATAAAGGAACTACAGCAAGGTCACATGACTTCACGTCACCAGCGCTAAGCTAAAGGCGGCTAAGGTTGGGCTATAAAGGAACTACAGCAAGGTCACATGACTTCACGTCACCAGCGCTAAGCTAAAGGCGGCTAATGTTGGGCTATAAAGGAACTACAGCACGGTCACATGACTTCACGTCACCAGCGCTAAGCTAAAGGCGGATAAGGTTGGGCTATAAAGGAACTACAGCAAGGTCACATGACTTCACGTCACCACCGCTAAGCTAAAGGCGGCTAATGTTGGGCTATAAACGAACTACAGCAAGGTCACATGACTTCACGTCACCACCGCTAAGCTAAAGGAGGCTAATGTTGGGCTATAAAGGAACTACAGCAAGGTCACATGACTTCACGTCACCAGCGCTAAGCTAAAGGCGGCTAAGGTTGGGCTATAAAGGAACTACAGCAAGGTCACATGACTTCACGTCACCAGCGCTAAGCTAAAGGCGGCTAATGTTGGGCTATAAAGGAACTACAGCACGGTCACATGACTTCACGTCACCAGCGCTAAGCTAAAGGCGGCTAAGGTTGGGCTATAAAGGAACTACAGCAAGGTCACATTACTTCACGTCACCAGCGCTAAGCTAAAGGCGGCTAATGTTGGGCTATAAAGGAACTACAGCACGGTCACATGACTTCACGTCACCAGCGCTAAGCTAAAGGCGGCTAAGGTTGGGCTATAAAGGAACTACAGCAAGGTCACATGACTTCACGTCACCACCGCTAAGCTAAAGGCGGCTAATGTTGGGCTATAAAGGAACTACAGCAAGGTCACATGACTTCACGTCACCACCGCTAAGCTAAAGGCGGCTAAGGTTGGGCTATAAAGGAACTACAGCAAGGTCACATGACTTCACGTCACCAGCGCTAAGCTAAAGGTGGCTAAGGTTGGGCTATAAAGGAACTACAGCAAGGTCACATGACTTCACGTCACCAGCGCTAAGCTAAAGGTGGCTAAGGTTGGGCTATAAAGGAACTACAGCACGGTCACATGACTTCACGTCACCAGCGCTAAGCTAAAGGCGGCTAAGGTTGGGCTATAAAGGAACTACAGCAAGGTCACATGACTTCACGTCACCAGCGCTAAGCTAAAGGCGGCTAATGTTGGGCTATAAAGGAACTACAGCACGGTCACATGACTTCACGTCACCAGCGCTAAGCTAAAGGCGGCTAAGGTTGGGCTATAAAGGAACTACAGCAAGGTCACATGACTTCACGTCACCACCGCTAAGCTAAAGGCGGCTAAGGTTGGGCTATAAAGGAACTACAGCAAGGTCACATGACTTCACGTCACCAGCGCTAAGCTAAAGGCGGCTAAGGTTGGGCTATAAAGGAACTACAGCAAGGTCACATGACTTCACGTTACCAGCGCTAAGCTAAAGACGGCTAATGTTGGGCTATAAAGGAACTACAGCAAGGTCACATGACTTCACGTCACCAGCGCTAAGCTAAAGGCGGCTAATGTTGGGCTATAAAGGAACTACAGCACGGTCACATGACTTCATGTCACCACCGCTAAGCTAAAGGCGGCTAATGTTGGGCTATAAAGGAACTACAGCATGGTCACATGACTTCATGTCACCATCGCTAAGCTAAAGGCGGCTAATGTTGGGCTATAAAGGAACTACAGCACGGTCACATGACTTCACATCACCACCGCTAAGCTAAAGGCGGCTAATGTTGGGCTATAAAGGAACTACAGCACGGTCACATGACTTCATGTCACCAGCGCTAAGCTAAAGGCGGCTAATGTTGGGCTATAAAGGAACTACAGCACGGTCACATGACTTCATGTCACCACCGCTAAGCTAAAGGCGGCTAATGTTGGGCTATAAAAGAACTACAGCACGGTCACATGACTTCATGTCACCATCGCTAAGCTAAAGGCGGCTAATGTTGGGCTATAAAGGAACTACAGCACGGTCACATGACTTCACGTCACCACCTTTAAGCTAAAGGCGGCTAAGGTTGGGCTATAAAGGAACTACAGCACGGTCACATGACTTCACGTCACCACCTTTAAGCTAAAGGCGGCTAATGTTGAGCGTGATGACGTTTAGTCGTCTCATTTAGACACTTGTTAGCACCGTTTTTGTATTGACGTGTGTGTGTGGTGTGTGTGTTGTGTGTGTGTGTGTGTGTGTGTGTGTGTGTGTGTGTGTGTGTGTGTGTGTGTGTGTGTGTGTGTGGTGTGTGTGTGTGTGTGTGTGTGTGTGTGTGTGTGTGTGTGTGTGTGTGTGTGTGTGTGTGTGTGTGTGTGTGTGTGTGTGTGTGTGTGTGTGTGTGTGTGTGTGTGTGTGTGTGTGTGTCACAGTTAATAAATGTGGGTTTTCTTCTCTTTCAGACAAAACTACAAAGATTACTCGATGGAGTCTCGTACTCAGTTCAGGATTCACGCTGCTCTGGCCAAACTGAAGGCTGACCCTGGGGAGGAGGAGGACACACACATGTAGGGGGAGAGGACACACATGTAGAGGGAGAGGACACACATGTAGAACACACACGTAGGAGGACACACACATGTAGGGGGAGAGGACACACACATGTAGGAGGACGCTTCTTCATCACCTCCTCTTCATCATCTTCATGGTTTTAACTTGGTACCCAGCTTTTAACCCGAATCCGTTTGTATCCCTGTGTTCGGATATGCACACTACACTAACACAAGTAAAGACAACAAGGAAATGTAAATACAGGAGACATTTTATTTTGTGTTTTATGGTTAATATTGAAAACATTTAAGAACACTCTGATTCAAAGTCCTTATAAATATAAATTATGAGAAATTGTTTGTATGTCTTAATGACTTGTATAGTAATTATGTAATGTTCCTGTATGGAGAGCGGTACTTAATAACAACATGATTGAGTTAATTAAGCATCATGTGTTTTTGGAAAGACGATGTTCATGGTACTTCAACTGCAAGATTTATTCAAACCAAATCATCCCAACTGTTACCTGGCTTTGAGAAATGCACACCAGTGTTTGATCTGTAACAGTCTGTGAACTTTCCAAAACTTCAATGTATACAAATTATTTTTGCATAAATAAATTCCACTCCCAAATCTCTGTTTCGTGTTCATTAACAGAATACTGTAGGTTGTAAAATTGAAATATTTATCTTGTTTTAAAAGACAACATGCAGGCCAAAGAGATGACATTATTTCAATGAAATGCACTGAGATGTATTAAATATAAATGTTTTCCTCCACTACATGTATTTAATCCCTTCAGTTACTTCACAGATGTGGATGAATGATGTGAAATATAATCAAGTGTTGAATCAGACTTTAGTTCCACCTGGAGTAAATCCACCAGCTACCCTGCAGAATACAAAGTACTTCAAACTAGCTGCACCTTCACCAGCTTTGAGAACACTTTCATGATCAATCATTATAAAACATATCATATATATTATTCTGAAATGGACCAATCTGCACAACGACTACTTTTACTGTCTTTCACTATATTTTGATGAGAATACTTTTCTACTTTCACTTGAGTAACATTTTGAATGCAGGACTTTTACTGTAACAGAGTATTCCTACACTCTGGTACTTCTACTTTTACTCAAGTACAAGATCTGAGTACTTCTACTTTTACTCAAGTACAAGATCTGAGTACTTCTACTTTTACTCAAGAACAAGACCTGAGTACTTTTACTCAATTAAAAGGGGTTACCTTGGTTGCTGATTGGCTAATGGTTACACAAGACAAAACATCGTTATGACATCATAATGTGGTCAAAATCTGATCAGCTCATTTTCAGACAGGTTTTTATAGAAATGGATCAAAAAGAGAGAGAATCTTTGTTCCTGAAACTTTCAGAGTCTCTTTCCACAGAGGGGACACATGTTGATGTAGAAGAGACATGAAGAAGAGGGGACACATGTTGATGTAGAAGAGACATGAAGAAGAGGGGACACATGTTGATGTAGAAGAGACATGAAGAAGAGGGGACACATGTTGATGTAGAAGAGACATGAAGAAGAGGAGACACATGTTGATGTAGAAGAGACATGAAGAAGAGGGGACACATGTTGATGTAGAAGAGACATGAAGAAGAGGGGACACATGTTGATGTAGAAGAGACATGAAGAAGAGGGGACACATGTTGATGTAGAAGAGACATGAAGAAGAGGGGACACGTGTTGATGTAGAAGAGACATGAAGAAGAGGGGACACGTGTTGATGTAGAAGAGACATGAAGAAGAGGGGACACGTGTTGATGTAGAAGAGACATGAAGAAGAGGGGACACATGTTGATGTAGAAGAGACATGAAGAAGAGGGGACACATGTTGATGTAGAAGAGACATGGAGAAGAGGGGACACATGTTGATGTAGAAGAGACATGAAGAAGAGGAGACACATGTTGATGTGGAAGAGACATGAAGAAGAGGGGACACATGTTGATGTAGAAGGGACATGAAGAAGAGGGGACACGTGTTGATGTAGAAGAGACATGAAGAAGAGGGGACACATGTTGATGTGGAAGAGACATGAAGAAGAGGGGACACGTGTTGATGTAGAAGAGACATGAAGAAGAGGAGTTTGCAGAATAGGTGACTTTTAATAAAGATTTAATAAATATAGTCAAACCGGAAAGAAATGTATTTATTTCAAACGCAGAAAGAGGTTAAAGGGAAAGGGATGTTTGTGTGTTTTGCAGGAACCATCGGTCTCTCTTTGACGTCCCGCTGAAGCCCACGCTCCGTCTCATTAGTCTCTAAACTTCAGCCCGACTCCAAACTACGGAGCGGCCGCAGGAGGAGGAACCGCCACCTGCTCGTGCTTCTGCTTCTTCTTCATCAGCTTCTGCTTCTTCTTCTCCTCCTTCTCTAGCTCTTCAACCATCTCCAGGAACTTGTGGTTCCGGGGGTCCAGAGTTTGACCCAGACTCTCGCGGGCCTCGGCCAGAAGCTTAGCGCGCCGAGTTTTCTCCTCATTCATCTTCGTCTTCGTCTGACGTTTCTCTTTGCGCCAGTCAGCGATCATCTTGGGCATCTTGGCCATGTTGGCTGCGATGAGGTTCTCCCTGAGACGGAGAGAGAAGGCGTGAATGTGGTGCTCAAATAAAAGGCAACATTTAGTGGAAAATTAAATGTAATAGAACAGTTTTAGATGTTAATTTGGTATCTCTCAATCAGAGTTAAGATACTAGAAAAACTGTTGGCGACTAGTTTTTTTTTACTTGTGTCTTTTAAGCAAAAATCTTGATTGTAAAGGTCAAAAAAGAAAGAATTTAGTTTTGACATTAGTCTCAGAATTCTGAGATTTTTTTATATTTTTAAATAAAAGGAAATAATAATTCTCAGGGAAAAATATATTTTTGTTACAGAATTCTGAGACTTTCAACAAAAATGAATCTGATTTTTTTTTTCTCTGAATTTATTTTTATTTTTTCAGAAAAAAATTCTGAATTTTTTTTTTTCTCTGGATTTTGAGATTCATGTTTTTATTTTCAAATAACAATCATTCTTAAGTAAATGTTTCTGACCAAAGCGAACATACACTCAATACTAATGAGACATTTCAACTCAAATGTTTCCGGTGTAAAAAAAAAAAATCGAGATAAAAAAAATAATTCTGAAATTCTGACGTTTTCTTAAAAAAAAAATCTCTTCCATTTTGTTCTGATTTAAATCTCCGAATCCTGCCTTTTTTGATATAAATATTTTTCTTCGAATGTATTTTAAAATGTCTCAGAATTCTAAGCTTAAAGTCAAAACTCAAAGATGTGTGAGCCGTAGGGTCGCCGGTTCAAGTCCCCGAACAGACCTAAATATGGAGTGTGGACTGCTAATTGGAGAGGTCCCAGTTCACCTCCTGCCCTGCCGTGGTGCCCTTGAGCAAGGCACCGGTCAACCCCCATTGCTCCCCGGGCGCTGTACAATAGCTGCCCACTGCTCCTAGTACTATGAAAGCAGAGGTCAAAGGTCACTGTGTGTGAGAGACCATTACAGAGGGGTTTCATCCCTCCAATTCTATTCACAGCCGCCTCTGACTTGCATTTCAGAATTCCGAGATTGAAGTGAGACTCAACATTTGTTTTACTTTTGGTCATGTCGCCCTATTCATCTCCAGTACATTATAATGTGGCATGAAATGAAAACACCCCACTAAAGTACAAGTACAACATTAAAGTACAAGTGCCTGAATGTTGTACTTTCTACTCCAGTGAGTAAACACAGTTTAACCATCGCTGCCCACATCACAGACCGACCTCCCCACCTTCAAAACACTGATCAAAACAGGCCTTTTTCAGACTAGCTTTTTAATGTGTGATTAATGCTGTGTCCTTATGATAACTGTGGTTTAATGCTCTCGTTTGTACCTGTGTAAAGCCTCTTTGAGCACCCGATAAAGCGCTTGAAAGTAGTAGTAGTAGTGACTTCAAAATATCGTCGACGACATATTTCCGCGTCGACGCGTCGCCACCATAGACTGTATGACGCCACACACACGTGGTTCACCCAAAGCAACAAGCAGTTCGCAATCGCACTTCTAACACAATGGAGACTGAAACGGCTACCAACTCCTCCTCACAGGATTGCGCACGAAGCCCTCAAACGAAAACATCTCGCCCCAGGTCTTCAAAAGCATGGGAATATTTTAAAGTTAGTCCAAAACGCAAAGATATTTATATATTTATATCTCACTGAGACTGCTGCTTGACCGGAAGCAGCAGCTAGCTGTGGTGGCAACCATTAGCAGCTAGCATTTGCTCTCCGATTTAAAATGGAATTATGGATTATAAATTCAATCATTTTTTTATACATAGACGTTAAAAACCTATGGATTAACCGATTCAGCCGCGTTTTTTCTCATTTTAATGCCATTGAACACGTATTTTGATCAGATTGACAGCTACGGCGGTGAGACGATCTCCCTAGAAGCTCTGTGAAGGTACGTGTTGTGATGACTGTATTTGCTTCCCCTGTCGCGAGTCCGGATCACTCAGTGATGATACTATATACCTACATAATCTGTGGAGTCTCAGCTTTAATCGGATATCTTGTATGTGCAGCTACGATAAGTAATAAGGGTACTTTTATCTTGAGATCTGTGCCAATGTCCGTTAGCATTTTTCGCTCAGGGGTCATTTAGATGCTTCTTATGAGACTTGTGTTTTGTTTTGGTAAACATGGTTTGTATCGTCAGTTAGCTGAGATTATTTCCGTTAATCTGGTATAACACATTAATAGGTTCTTAAATATTAAGATCCCCTGAGACACAGTATCGTGAAATTTTTTTTGTTTACATGACGTTTTTTTTACATTACGTTTTTTATGAATTGAACAACAGAAAAATAATCGTTCGATTAGTCGACTAATCGATCAAATAATCGCCCGATTAATCGTTTTCAAAATAATCGTTTCCCCCCAGCACTACTTGAAAGACAAAATGTATGATTATTGTCCGATAATTGACGCACTGCTGTCCGATAATTGACTCACTTCGCCAGCCGTTTCTCGGTGTCCTGCCGCTCCTTCTCCTGCAGGTTCTTCAGCTTCACCTCTAACGGAGGGTGCCACTGGTTCTCATCCTCGATGATCCGCTCCAGCTGCTCGTGGTTCGGCCACAGAGACGCTGGTTCGATCCCTGAAGCGGACCCGTAGCGACCGAACAGCTTCCGGTCATACCGAGGCGTTTTCTGCCAATCTGGAGTCTTTTCGCTGCTTTTATCGGGAATGTAAAGCTCGCGGATTTTCAGTCTCAGAGGTTTGGGGTTATAAGAAGCTGTCTGCAGCAACAGAGTCTGTGAGTTTGCAGAAAGGAGCGTTTTTGAGCACGATATTCCATTTAAAGACCTGAAGAACATCGATGTCCTCCCGCACACTATGGAGGCCGCCATGTTTGTTTGACTTCTTCTTCTTCTTCGGATTTAATGTTGGAGGAGAAACCAGCGGGAAGCGCGTTAGCGGCCCCTAGCGGACTGGAGAGGGAAGAATTAGGGTTAGATGCAACATAAAATAACATAAAATAATATTAAAATTAACTACATTTAAATAAAATATAATAGTATAAAATAAAATGACATAACATACATTTTATTAAATTAATATAATATAAAATGTAATTAATTTAATTAAAGTAAAATGTAATACAAATGTGATAAAAAAAACATACAATTAATTAGATAATAAAAGATTAAATAAAAACAAAATTAAATTAAATACTAAAATAAATCACCTCTTAATTCTCTCAATTATTTAGGATAATACACTTAAATAAAAATAAATTAAAACCCTTCTGTGAACATTCTCTCCTTTTAAATATGTCCTTCTGACCCAGTGTCTCTAATACATTTTCTAAAAACTCAGCTTTCCTGATTCTTGATTGTAAGTATGTCAAGTTTATTTATAAAGCGCTTTTCACAGACAAAGTCACAAAGTGCTTGACAAAAAAAAAAAAATCATCATAGGAATCATACAATGATAAATGACCACACAAGCCACGTGTTAAGAAGTCATAAAAGCACCAAAACACAATAAAAACATAGTATAAAATAGAATAAAATCAAGCACACCGGTTACCCAAACGCCTGCCCAAAACAGGAATGTCTTTAAATTAAGGTCCCATGTCATGGCCATTTCTTCTGATCATATTTCCATTGTTGAGGTCTACTAGAATAGATTTACATTGTTCAATGTTCCAAACTCACATTGGTTTCTCACAGCATCTCTGTATAGTCTGTGTATTCACTCTCTGTCCTACACGGCTTGTTGGAGCTCCTGCCCTGTGAGCCTGTGCTCTGATTGGTCGGGACGTTGCAAGACTCGTTGCTGCGAGGAGCGGACAGGTTTCCGGGTCGGCGATACAGCGAGAACAAGCTAAACTCATCCTGAGCACACACAAACACTCACAGCCGAAGTAAACACAGTAAGTGTGGCTTGATATTGAATAGGAGAAAGGTTTATTATAACGCTGTGAGAATGGGTCTGCGGAGAGCTTTTCTCCACCTTCCAAACTCGTCTATTACCAGCCAGGGAGCTCTATGCAAGTCAATGGGACTCCCTGTTGGTTAGCCAAGGGGTCCTGGTGTGTGAGGCGCTCCGCGGATTGGTCCATTTGGGCCAATCCGGTCATTTGTTGTTGATCTGGGTGTTCACACGTCACAGAACCCAGGAAGCAAACAATGGAAAAAGAGAAATGTCCAACGAGGCGTTCTGGGGCAGCAGACAGGTCTTCTCTGTGTTAGAGTTTTACTCGCTACAGGGTGTACTTTGAGGGTTTGTGACTGCAGACCGTTTACATGCAGAAAAAGCTTCATAACACAAGGGGACGGGTGATAACAGGAACAGCATGACATGAGACCTTTAAAATAGTTTTAAAGGAGTCAACAGAGTCAGCGGACCGTAGATGAGCGGGCAGAGCGTTCCATAGATTAGGAGCCACGGCCTCGAACGCTCGATCACCGCGGGTCTTAAGGTGAGTACGGGGGACAGACAGTAAGTTGAGCATGTGTGACCTGAGTGGGTGGGCTGATGTATATGGATGAATTAGGTCAGCCACATAAGCAGGAGTCTGACCGTGCAAAGCTCTGTAGGTGAGGGTAAGGATTTTGAACTGGACCCTATAGGCTACAGGGAGCCAGTGGAGAGATCTGAGTATTGGGGTAATGAGGGACCGTTTATTAGACCGGGTGAGAAGTCTAGCAGCTGCTTGTATTTCTGACTGTGTAAAATGATTCATCCGCCTGGCAGGCTTACTTACATACTTCTGAGGGATGTTTTACTTAAGTAACATTTAAAATGCAGGACGTATAACAAAGTATTTATACATTGTGGTTTGAGTACGTCTGAGTAAAGGATCTGAACCCTGCCTCCACCCTCTCCCTGAACTTATTTAAATGGTTCTTCAACAACGTGGAACAAAAGGTGTTTCTGTGTGGTGCATCACTTAGAGAGACAGATGTCATCGCTTTGTGTCGCGCAGAACTCTCATTAAAGATGTATGGTTCCCATGGTGGGGGGGGGGGGGGGCATGACTTAATGGCTTAATTTGGCTTTGGAGCGATGATGGTGCCAAACCCGGAGCTTCAGGGATCAGATCAGGGTCCCAGGAAACAGGGTTAGCAGACAGAGAGACAGATGTATTTCTGAGGGAGTGTGTAGGGTCAGAGGTGGGATGTAGTACAAATACTTCGTTACTGTACTTAAGTACATGTTTCTGGTATCAGTACTTTACTCCACTACTTATTTTTATGACCACTTTTTACTTTGACTTCTTACATTTTGAACTCAAATACCTGTACTTTCTACTTGTTACATGTTGAACCCAAATACCTGTACTTTCTACTTCTTACATGTTGAACCCAAATACCTGTACTTTCTACTTCTCACATGTTGAACACAAATACATGTACTTTCTACTTCTTACATGTTGAACCCAAATACCTGTACTTTCTACTTCTTACATGTTGAACTCAAATACCTGTACTTTCTACTTCTTACATGTTGAACTCAAATACCTGTACTTTCTACTTCTTACATGTTGAACACAAATACCTGTACTTTCTACTTCTCACATGTTGAACACAAATACCTGTACTTTCTACTTCTCACATGTTGAACACAAATACCTGTACTTTATACTTCTCACATGTTGAACTCAAATACCTGTACTTTCTACTTCTTACATGTTGAACTCAAATACCTGTACTTTCTACTTCTTCCATGTTGAACCCAAATACCTGTACTTTCTACTTCTCCACATGTTGAACTCAAATACCTGTACTTTCTACTTCTTACATGTTGAACTCAAATACCTGTACTTTCTACTTCTTACATGTTGAACTCAAATACCTGTACTTTCTACTTCTCACATGTTGAACTCAAATACCTGTACTTTCTACTTCGTACATGTTGAACTCAAATACCTGTACTTTCTACTTCTCACATGTTGAACTCAAATACCTGTACTTTCTACTTCTTACATGTTTGAACTCAAATACCTGTACTTTCTACTTCTCACATGTTGAACTCAAATACCTGTACTTTCTACTTCTTACATGTTGAACCCAAATACTGTACTTTCTACTTCTTACATGTGAACTCAAATCCTGTACTTTCTACTTCTTACATGTTGAACTCAAATACCTGTACTTTCTACTTTCTTACATGTTGAACTCAAATACCTGTTACTTTCTACTTCTTACATGTTGAACCCCAAATACCTGTACTTTCTACTTCTTACATGTTGAACTCAAATACCTGTACTTTCTACTTCTTACATGTTGAACACAAATACATGTACTTTCTACTTCTTACATGTTGAACCCAAATACCTGTACTTTCTACTTCTTACATGTTGAACTCAATACCTGTACTTTCTACTCTTACATGTTGAACTCAAATACCTGTACTTTCTACTTCTTACATGTTGAACACAAATACCTGTACTTTCTACTTCTCACATGTTGAACTCAAATACCTGTACTTTCTACTTCTTACATGTTGAACTCAAATACCTGTACTTTCTACTTCTTACATGTTGAACACAAATACCTGTACTTTCTACTTCTTACATGTTGGAACACAAATACCTGTACTTTCTACTTCTCACATGTTGAACACAAATACCTGTACTTTCTACTTCTCACATGTTGAACTCAAATACCTGTACTTTCTACTTCTTACATGTTGAACTCAAATACCTGTACTTTCTACTTCTTACATGTTGAACCCAAATACCTGTACTTTCTACTTCTCACATGTTGAACTCAAATACCTGTACTTTCTACTTCTTACATGTTGAACTCAAATACCTGTACTTTCTACTTCTTACATGTTGAACTCAAATACCTGTACTTTCTACTTCTCACATGTTGAACTCAAATACCTGTACTTTCTACTTCTTACATGTTGAACTCAAATACCTGTACTTTCTACTTCTCACATGTTGAACTCAAATACCTGTACTTTCTACTTCTTACATGTTGAACTCAAATACCTGTACTTTCTACTTCTTACATGTTGAACTCAAATACCTGTACTTTCTACTTCTTACATGTTGAACCCAAATACCTGTACTTTCTACTTCTTACATGTTGAACTCAAATACCTGTACTTTCTACTTCTTACATGTTGAACTCAAATACCTGTACTTTCTACTTCTTACATGTTGAACTCAAATACTTGTACTTTCTACTTCTCTCATTTTCCAAACAGCTGGTTCCTTTAGTCTGAATGTGTGTTTGATGCGTGATCATTATTCTTTAGAGTCATTGCGTGCCTATTGATTTGAACACGATCCGTGTATCCATCATTTCCTGGTCTTCTCTAAAGAAGAGGGACCAATGGAAACGTTGTCATGTTGCCGTTGTTCAGCTTATAACTTATAACTCCCTATGAGTTTTGGCTTCAGCTGAGAGCTAACAGTTTCTCTTCGCTGTGACGCTTTCCATACAAGAGTCCGTACTGTAGTTAGAGTTCATGGTGTTTAATCAAGATAAAAAACAAACAATATGTCAATCTGGACCACAACAGAAAGTGTCGGAGTAATTAACCCTCTCCTCTTTATCAAACACAAAACCGGCATCCAACAGGTGACCTAAATACCAATTAACCACACCCAGGGGACATACAGCATGGTCACATGACTTCACGTCACCACCGCTAAGCTAAAGGTGGCTAATGTTGGGCTATAAAGGAACTACAGCACGGTCACATGACTTTACGTCACCACCGCTAAGCTAAAGGTGGCTAATGTTGGTCTATAAAGGAACTACAGCACGGTCACATGACTTCACATCACCACCGCTAAGCTAAAGGTGGCTAATGTTGGGCTATAAAGGAACTACAACACGGTCACATGACTTCACGTCACCACCGCTAAGCTAAAGGTGGCTAATGTTGGGCTATAGAGGAACTAC